GGCTATACCACTGGGCCATACCACTGGGCTATAACACTAGGCTATACCACTGGGGTATACCTGTGAGACAACTGTTGTTGTGATGTGGCGCTATATAAACATTTAATTTAATTGAATTGAATTAATTGAGTCGTTGGTTGCAGAAAAACGTACGGAATAAAGAATAATAAACAGAAACAGGAAAACAATAGTGAGAATGCCTGTGAGGCAGAATCGGGGAGCCATATTTTTTGCTCCATTCATTTCAATGAGAGGAATAAGGCATAAAAGGTTAAATATCTTAAAAAGTCGAAAAGATTTGAACACCAAAAGTCATATATTCATAGTCCTCAGATAGTTGAACATTTTGATACCTTATTTGTTGAAATAGGCTGAAAGGTGTAGGAGTTTCTGCCTGTTAAAAGGGAGTTTTTCCTTGCCTGTGTCGCCTAGTGCTTGCTCATGGTGGGAATTGTTGGGTTTCTGTAATAATCTTCAGAGTAGGGTCTGACCTGCTCTGTTTGGAAAGCGCTGTGAAACAACTGTTGTTGTGATGTGGCACTATATAAATAAAATTTTATTTAATTTAATTGAATTGAGTAGTTGGATGCAGAAAAACGTACGGAATAAAGAATAATAAACAGAAACAGGGAAACAATAGTGAGAATGCCTGTGAGGCAGAATCGGGGAGCCATATTTTTTGCTCCATTTATTTCAATGAGAGGAATAAGGCATAAAAGGTTAAATATCTTAAAAAGTCGAAAAGATTTGAACACCAAAAGTCATAGATTCATAGTCCTGAGATAGCTGAACATTTTGATACCTTATTTGTCGAAATAGGCTGAAAGGTGTAGGAGTAGTTAGACGCTGAAATAGGTATGGAATAAAGAATAATAAACAGAAACAGGAAAAAAATTGTGAGAATCCTGTGGAGGCAAACCAAAGGTGTGGGACCTACCCAGGCAGGCGGGGGGGTGCCCCCCCCACTGGCCGCTGTTTCCGCAGAGCAGCCGGGCGTCGCCCAGCAGGTAGAAGCCGGCATCACACTCGTACTCCACCGAGCCCCCGGCCTGGAAGTCCTCACCCCGGAAGAGTCCATTCTCCAGGGGAAGGGGGGGACCACAGGACACCCCTGGAACCCACAGAGAGGACGGAAATCGAGACAAATCGGAGGACAGCCAGAGAAACGGTGTTAAAAAGTTACATTTTCGAAGGTGGAAACTTTTGGCTGATGTCGGTTGAAGCCAAACCAAACCTTGAATTGTCCCTGGAGCCAACAAGGGACTCCTTAACTAATTGGCTGCCAAAGATGTCCATAGACGTCTTTTATGTTTTTCAACGAGAGTGGCTTGGGGGACGATCTGCTAAAGCTTGTCCGTAAATATCAGGCTTCTAGACACAGTATGTAGTAACAAATTGACCCTCTAGGTCAGTGTTTTTCAACCACTGTGCCTCGGTACGCTAGTGTGCCACAAGTGACGGTCAGGTGTGCCGTAGAAAATCATCTTATTTCACCTAATTGGTCTAAAAATATTTTTTGATAAGGAATTAATTATCTAAAAATAATGTGCCATTTTTGAGTGTCTGTGCTGTTCTAGTGACTGGTGGCGTAATCATGTAATAATTCCTTATGAAAATATGATTAAATAAAAATGTTCTGTTTATTTGATTCCTATTCAAGACACTTAAGATACGATAAGAATAAAATAAGAATAACTATAGTGTTACTATAGCACCACCAACTACAGATTTGTTTGACATTTTTGGTTGGTGGTGCGCCTTGTGATTTTTCAATGAAAAAATATACCATGGCTCAAAAAAGGTTGAAAAACACTGTCTTAGAGGACGCAAATCGAGATAAATCGGAGGACCGGTGTGGACAACAGCCGGAGAAACAGCGTTAAAAAGTTTAATTTTCGGAGGTGGAATCTTTTGGCTCATGTCTGTTGAAGCCAAACCAAACCTTGAATTGTCCCTGGAGCCAAGAATGGACTCCTTAACTCATTGACTGCCAAAGACGTCCATAGACGTCTTTTGTTTTTCAACGAGAGTGGCTGGGGGACGATCTGCTAAAGCTTGTCCGTAAATATCGGCTTCCAGACAGAGTATGTAGTAACAAATTGACCCTCTAGGGGGCAGTGCCACTTTTGATGGGAGATGAGCATAGACTGTAGGCAAATAAGAAAAAGGTAACGGTTCGCTATGAGAGAACATGGCGCCGGTGAGACGCAAGTCCAGGAAGAACGGAGTAAGGTAGAAACACATTTTTTTTCCTGGTGAAAGAAGAGAGTCTACTCTTTCTTTTGGTGTGTTCGGTGTTTACATAGTCATAGCACAAACTATTCTGTGGCTCTTGAAAAATCAGTCAAAATGCTCAAAAAACTCTGGCAGTATGGGACTCTCTGTTCTGAAAATGGCTGGCAGTCAATGAGTTAAAAACAAAGGCAGAAACATGCGAGTCTATGGTTCAGGTCTGGGCTCACGTTGGCATTTGGGGACGGGGTGGCTCCACTCCCCTTTGTTCTGGCACTGCAGCAGCGGCTCCCCCACCAGGTAGAAGCCCGGGTCGCAGGACAGCTGCACCTGGGCGCCGGGGCCCACCTCCACCGAGGAAACGTGCAGGTGGGGCGCCGCGTCCTGCAGCCGCGGGCAGTCTGCGCAACAGAGAGCCCCGGTTACCAACGGTTACGCCCGGTTAACCCCTGGTTACCCTTAGTTACGCCTGGTTACCTCTGGTTAGCCCTAATTACCTCTGTTTAGCCTCTGTTACCCCTGGTTACCCCCGTTTACCTCTAGTTACGCCTGGTTACCTTTGGTTATCCCTAATTACCTCTGGTTAGCCCTGGTTAGCCCTGGTTAGCCCTGGTTACCCCCGTTTACACACGGTTACCTCTAGTTACGCCCGGTTAACCACCGGTTACCCCCGGTAACCTCTAGTTACGCCTGGTTAGCCCCGGTTAGCCCTAATTACCCCTTGTCACCTCTGGTTAGCCCTAATTACCTCTGGTTAGCCCTGGTTACCCCGGTTACTCCTGGCTAGCCCTGGTTACCTCTGTTTAGCCCCGGATACCTCTAGTTACGACTGGTTACCTCTGGTTAGCCCTAATTTTCTCTGGTTAGCCCTGGTTACCCCCGGTTACCTGTAGTTACGCCTGGTTACCTCTGGTTAGCCCCAATTATCCCTAGTTACCTCTGGTTACCCCCGGTTACCTCTAGTTATGCCTGGTTACCTCTGGTTAGCCCTAATTACCTCTGGTTAGCCCCAATTATCCTTAGTTACCCCTTGTTACCCCGGTTACCTCTAGTTACGACTGGTTACCTCTGGTTAGCCTTAATTACCTCTGGTTAGCCCTGGTTACCCCCGGTTACACACGGTTACCTCTAGTTATGCCTGGTTACCTCTGGTTAGCCCTAATTACCCCTGGTTAGCCCCAATTATCCCTAGTTACCCCTTGTTACCCCGGTTACCTCTAGTTACGCCTGGTTACATCTTGGTAGCCCTAATTACCTCTGGTTATCCCTAATTACCTCTGATTAGCCCTGGTTACTCCTGGTTATCCCCGGTTAACCCTGGTTACTCCTGGATAGCCCTGGTTACCTCTGGTTAGCCCTGGTTACCCCCGGTTACGCCCGTTTAACCCCATTTACCCCGGGTTATTCCTAGTTATGCCTGGTTACCTCTGATTAGCCCTGGTTACCCTTAGTTAGCTCTAGTTAGCATTGGTTACCCTGGTCACCCCTGGTCACCCCAAGTTACCCCTGGTTACACCTGGCTCCCCACGGTTACCCCCCGTTACCCCCGATTACCCCCTATTAACCCTATTATTAGCCTCAAGTCGCTTTTTGTTCTTCTTTGGATTTTTATCTCTTTTTGTCCTTGTGGAGTTTTTGACCCTTTGGATTTATTTCTTATTTGGATATAACTGTCCGGGGTTTTGGACTTTTTGCCGTTGTGGTGTTGTTTCCCTTTGGATTTATTTCTTATTTGGATCTGACTGCCTGTGTTTTGGACTTTTTGCCTCTTGTGGAATCTTCTGAGCGTTTGTTCGTTTTGGAAATAAAATAAAGCGTCTAAATGCAGAAACGTGAGCATAAAAGTGAACGTAAAAGGGAACGTAAACGTCTCCCACCGGCGCAGAAGATGCTGCTGAGGTTGACGCGGACTCGGCCCACCACCCCGCTCAGGAAGTCGGGCCAGGCCAGGACGTTTCCTCGGTGGGTCACATGGGAGGACGGGCAGCTGCTGGCCAGGACTTTGATCTTTTTCGGTTAGAGGGAAAACGAACATCACAGGTTAACAAACGAGACTCCAGAGACATTTTTATTTGAAAGGGAATACAAAACAGAGTACATGAACCCCTAGAAATGAAATAAAAACCACATTTTCAGGTCATATATCTGTGATTTGGCCAGTTTTAAATCTATTTTCTAATTATTTTCAGAGGCATTTCATATAATCAAGACGTTTTTACTGTTTTTACAAGCAAGCCAAGAAGATAAGAACAGACAATTTTAGGCCATCGTGATCTCGATACCCCTCTTTTCTGTACTCGTCCCTCTTTTTAACGTTCTTATATGTATGAAGATTAAGATGCTATATTCAGTATGAATTATTTTAAAATACACGTGCATTTATGAGGTAAAAAACCCAGAGAATTTATGTGTAAATAAACAAACTGCAGAGTAGATTAGACTTGTCTTCCCCCACTTATATTTTACCATAATTATTCATTTCCGTTAAATAAAGTTTGACGTTTTAAAATGGTCGGATGTGACCATTTTTAATGCATTTGTTCTAGTTTAAATGTGGTTAAATAATTAATGTCAGAGCCATAATTTAAGATCTTTAAAGGAACCCTGAAAAGTAGTTTTTGAAGACATCAGTGACTCAATCTCGTCGTGGGTTTTCTGGGTTATTTCATGTTTTTTTTCAGGGACTTCATGAATTTTTTTCAGGGAATTCATGGATTTTTTCAGGGACTACATTAATTTTTTCAGGGACTTCATGAATTTTTTTAGGGACTTCATGAATTTTTTC